AACCCCTGGTGCAGCCCCTGTCCCCTATCAAGCCTGTTTCTGGGGCATTTCTCATGTGACACTTCAACCTCAGGAGAGGTAACCTGTACAAAGAGAAGGTGATCAAGGCTGCATAACATGACCTCAGGCACAGTCTCCCTGCCCAGCAAAGATGAGCTGGGCAAGTCTTTTCCCAAGTTCACAGGCCAACCTTTTCATCACTCTTGCAGGGAACAGAAGAAGAGGGATGCTTCTTCACTGGTTCCAGCTTCTGCACCCAAACCTTACACCTGTTGAGAAGGCAAATTACAGGCACACCTTGCTCAAGTCAGACCCGGCACTATGTGAGAGAGTGAAAACCTCAGGATCCAGCTGAATTCATTCCAAGAACAGAGAGGTGGGTTAGCAATTGAAATTCCACCCATGTAACTCATAGTGCTTTCAGAATCAAGGAAAAAAATCCACCTCCATCGAGTCGAAGAGGACATTTGTAATCTACATCCATATCTACAGCACTGTCTAGGTTTAGTGCCCAGAATACATAAAGAACTTCTCCAATGTTGCTATGAAAAAGACAGATGACAAGCATAGAACAAGGTGCTCAGCCTCACTAGTCATTATGGAAATACAAATTGAAATCACAGCCTTCCACTAAACACACTAAACAGAATGGCCAAAATGAGAAAGACTGATGTTCTGGAGAGCTGGTGAAGGGGTGGCCGCCTGCAGCTTCTCACATTGCTGATGGGGGTGTGAGTGGGTGAGACCACCTTAGAACACTGGCACTGTCTCCTAAGGTTGCATGTGTGTCCACCCTACAGCCAGCAATGCCTTCCTCAGGCATTCACCCCAATGCCGTGTGCCGACAGTCAGCAAAGACTGTTCCTAACAGCGCTCTGCATAGTAGCCCAGACCCAAAAACAAGGCTGGTGCTCTCAACGGTGGAACAGAGACAGCTAATGTTTGTGCACAAGTGGGTTACACCACAGCAGTTAGAATGAATGATCTTCACATACCTGCATGGCGAATTTCACAGAATAAATACCGAGTGAGAGACGCCAACCACGAGAGTGTGCATTTGTTGTAATTCTACTCGCATGAAGTTAAAAGAGAGAGGCGCGCGCGCACACACACACACACACACACACACACACACACATGATGTTAGAGGTCAAGGTCATGGCTGTCTTGGTGAGAGGGGATTTCTGGGAGGAGGCAATAATGTCTTCCTGGTCTAACTGCTGGGATGGGCTCACTGTGAAAACTCCTGAAGTTGGAGACGTTGTGATATATTTTTCTTTATTCATGTTATACTCTAGAAAAGAGCTAACTTTAAAAAAGCTTATGTGCCCAAAAGAAGCCTTGACGGAGGCCTCCAAGCAGGGGCTCTCAGGTCCAGAGGAGGGTGCTCCCTCTGGTTCTGTATACATACCTCAGGAAGCCCACCCTAAAAGGGGACAGAGGTCTTCTGGCCACGGAGCATCAGAGCAAGGGAGGACTTCAGAGAGCACCATGTTTCCAATGGCCCAGTTGGTGTAACGGGGCAGAGGTCAGAGAGCCTGGTCCTCCCTCTGCAAAGAGGGATGGGCCTGAGGGAGGTTTTACAAATCCCCTTCCTCCTGCTTCTGTGCTCTGTATTTATAAACAGAGACAGACCCTCCCCTCTGAGGACCAGCACTGCTCTTCCTCTCTGGTGCTGGTGGTGGTGATGGGGACTTCCAGGGAATGCAACTGTGTTCTCTCTTCCCACCTTCTTTGGGGGTGGTGACCTAACCATCTTTCTTTGAGTTCACCTTCACTGGTGGCACACAGGCAGGGAACCAGAATGGTGCTCCAGCCCTACTGATTTGGCCTCTGGAGAGGGTCTGGGGGGGGGTGCATCATGAAAGGATCATGTACGAGAGAGAGAGAGAGAGAGAGAGAGAGAGAGAGAGAGAGAGAGAGAGAGAGAGAGAGAGAGAGCAAGGAAGAAAGAGAGAAACAGAGAAAGAGAGACAGACAGAGAGAGAGAGATCACATAGTGTGACAGGAAGCCAGAGAAAGAGTGTGGTCCCAAGAAGACAGTGTAAGAAGCACTCAAATTGCTTTTGCTGAAAAGCACTGACTCCTTACTTGGACACATGAATTAACTAAAAACAGGACAAGCTGGGCATCCCTGCCTCCATTTTTGTATCTGTCTTTGCTCCTTTGCTCTAAGCCACTCTCTTTGCAGTCACTTTGCAATCACCTGGGATTCCAGAAACGACAGGACTGATAACATCTTTACAAGGGGCTAAAACTTCCCATAAGGAGCAGTGGAGACCTGCAGGACAGACGCCCCTCCAAAGGAGGACAATGACCCATAATGATGAGGCTGCACCCTGGAGCAGAAGCAAACACCTCATGGGACCAGATTGTTCCCCTCGAGTGATGACAGCGATAGCATCTTCTCTGGAACCCCTCTGGGACTGAAATAATGGTAAGCCCGAGGACGCCCGTGACTGGGACTGTTTCACTATGCATACCTTGTCCCCCGCCCCTGGTTCTTTGTCTGCTTAAACCTGTAGCTCATGTCTGGACCCTGAAGATGGCTGAAGATGGGCTGAGTGTTTACTCTGCTTCTTCCCACAGCATGTCCCATGTCCCAGGCCGTATAATAAACCTCCTTTCTCTGACTTTGCCATGTCTCTTTATTTGGCGTTTAGGGACAGGTGGCCGGACCTGGCATATGGAATCTCAGGAGTTTGGGCCTTGGGTCCAGAACTCCAGTTTTAGTAGCTGTATTAATCCTTTCCAAGAGCACACCCCCAATGACTGCTCATGAAACTCCATCTCTTAAACGTCAACACTACACTGAGGACCAAGCCTTGGGTGACAAATCATGTCCAAACCATAGTACCTCCTTTAAAATGTGGCTGATGCCTATGACTTTCTTTAACCCATAGGGTACAGCAAAGGAGATGGGATGTCACTTCCACGATTACATTGCATGAGGTTGTAATATCTGTCTCGCCGGGAGACCCTCTAGCTTTCTGGCTTTAATGACACAAGTGGTCATACTGGGAAGGCCCACATAGCAAGGAGCAGAAGGCAGCATCTGGTCAACAGCCAGCAAGAAACTGAGGTCTGTGTCCAACAGCCACAAGTAACCGAGTGCCACCAACAACCAAGAAGACTGGGAGGACGATCACTGCCCACCTGAGCCTCAGATCAGCCCACAGTCCTGACCTGGATTGCAGCTTTCAGCTGCGACCCTAAAGCAGGAGAGCCAGCCTCACTTGGACCCCTGATCCTTTGAAACTGGGAGGCGACAGTGTGCATTGCTTTAAGCTGCTAAATTTGCGGTGCTACTGTTACTCGGCCATTGATAACAAATACAAGATGCTGTAAAGGAGACGTGTGCATCTGGCAGGAGGTCCGGCTGGCTTTCTTATGAACATCTTCCGAACCTCAAGATTCTGTGGCCATCCTTACTCGTCGTCACCTCCTGCATTGTGCTTAGTTCAGCTTCTTGCATTAAGTTGAGGTGTGATACACATTTATTAAGCCTCACGCTGCCTCAGCACTGGGGCACACATTAAGGGATCAGGAGGGCTGGCCTACAAGAAGTCTGTATCTGAGCTGCTCCGGGGTGGAAACCAGAAGGCTGGACCTGGGTTTACTCCAGCTGCCTCTTCCCGCCGTGACCTTGGACAAGGCTGTCTGGCTTTGTGCACCTCATGGATAAAACATGGAACCTTCCCACTCACAGGTTTATGCAGGTCAAATGAGCTCACATGGTGACCTATTGAGAAGCCCACGGAGGTAAGAAATTGTTATCTGTTATGAAATGTCACAAGCATTCCTGCTGGCTGACTCATGAGGCTCTGAGACTTGGCCACTTTCCCTTCCAAATAAGGCTGGGCTAGCACTTTTTTTTTTTTCATTTTTCTTTTATTATTCATATGTGCATACAAGGCTTGGGGCATTACTCCCCCCTGCCCCCACCCCCTCCCTTACCACCCACTCCGCCCCCTCCCGCTCCCCCCCTCAATACCCAGCAGAAACTATTTTGCCCTTATCTCTAATTTTGTTGTAGAGAGAGTATAAGCAATAATAGGAAGGAACAAGGGTTTTTGCTGGTTGAGATAAGGATAGCTATACAGGGCATTGACTCACATTGATTTCCTATGCGTGGGTGTTACCTTCTAGGTTAATTCTTTTTGATCTCACCTTTTCTCTAGTTTCTGGTCCCCTTCTCCTATTGGCCTCAGTTGCTTTTAAGGTATCTGCTTTAGTTTCTCTGTGTTAAGGGCAACAAATGCTAGCTAGTTTTTTAGGTGTCTTACCTATCCTCACCCCTCCCTTGTGTGCTCTCGCTTTTATCATGTGCTCAAAGTCCAATCCCCTTGTTGTGTTTGCCTTTGATCTAATGTCCACATATGAGGGAGAACATACGATTTTTGGTCTTTTGGGCCAGGCTAACCTCATTCAGAATGATGTTCTCCAATTCCATCCATTTACCAGCAAATGATAACATTTCGTTCTTCTTCATGGCTGCATAAAATTCCATTGTGTATAGATACCACATTTTCTTAATCCATTCGTCAGTGCTGGGGCATCTTGGCTGTTTCCATAACTTGGCTATTGTGAATAGTGCCGCAATAAACATGGGTGTGCAGGTGCCTCTGGAGTAACAGTCTTTTGGGTATATCCCCAAGAGTGGTATTGCTGGATCAAATGGTAGATCGATGTCTAGCTTTTTAAGTAGCCTCCAAATTTTTTTCCAGAGTGGTTGTACTAGTCTACATTCCCACCAACAGTGTAAGAGGGTTCCTTTTTCCCCGCATCCTCGCCAACACCTGTTATTGGTGGTGTTGCTGATGATGGCTATTCTAACAGGGGTGAGGTGGAATCTTAGCATGGTTTTAATTTGCA